TATAAATGCAGAAATTATTATTATCTTTTAAATTCATTTTTGCCAAAATACAAGTAGCTTTTATTTTTTTTACTCTGAACCCTAAAAATCCTGAAGTGACTAATGAACATGGGCCTTGCATGTGAACTTCCCAGACTTAGACCACTAGGATCTCCAAATAGAGCAGGAAAATATTAAGCTCAAAGCTCACAGGAGCTGCTGCCAAGCAGTGATTACATTGCTGAACTAGGTAAGTTGCTGGTTTTACTTAAATTGAAACTGTCTTCTCTAGTTCTAGACAATGCATATACAGAATACCTTCTTATTTCATCAAGATTTGGTTCAGATGAGCTTGAATGATAGGAAAAGAAAATCCTTTTAAATAACAGCGAATGTAGAATGTATTTTTAACTTCAGCTTGTAAAAAAAAGTGTCTTAATTTTTTTTAATCAACTAGATAACTGTAAAAAATATTAAAGATTTTGAAAAGAAGTACAAACATTCCACAGAAGAGCTGGAAGACATTAAAGCCGCATATGAAGACTTTAAAGGCGATATGGACAAAATTATGGAGTCTGTCCTATGTGTTGATTATACAGATGAACCAAGAATAAGACAGATTATTCAACATGCTATTGATTCTGGAGAACTTCCATCTTATAAATCCTTTGCAAATGAATCTAAGAGAAAGATAAATGCAAGAAAAAGGAAGGTATGTTTAACTGATAAGTTTTATTAATAAAGCTTATAACACGAAATATAATTCTAAATATATTGGTGTATAGCATCCATCATTTATCTTTACATTATAGTCCTCATGTTTTTAAATCAAGGTGGAATTTTTAAATGACCAATCCCCTTATCTTTTGTATTTCTTACATTTTTTTTTTTTAGAAAAGATTTTCTAAAGCTATGAACATAATAAATTTAAAGTTAGTAGTCAATGACATGTACAGAATACACACGTTTATTTGAAGATTATTAAAAGTTATTAAAGTTTTGGAATTATTCCTGGGGATTCATAAGTTTATGAATCATAAGTTCATGTGTGGCTTTGGCCACTTTGACTCAATGGTTGCTATGGGAATATTTCCTTAAATGCTAATTGCAGTTGGTGGTTTGGATTAGGAAAGAAATTGATAGTTCATTTCAGTATTGTTGCTGTTTCAGGCAGAGAAGGAGGCTAAAGAGGCAGAAGAATCCAGAGAACAAATGGGACTTGGTGAAGGAGATGATGATCTGAAAGTATTAATTCAAGTAAGGTTATAGAATAAAGATCCTTGGGGGGAAAAACTTTTCCAAGCCGATTAAAGAGTTCATAAAATGTCAAAATAAAATTTAGCATACAGCGACTCACATTGGGACAAAGAATTTTACTTCTTGATATATGGTAGGGGTTCTGAATTGAGCTGTAATTCTCTTATGCAAAACACAAGCAATCTCCTGGGAATCAGTTTCTAATCTTTGTAGCATATTTAATTAACAGGCATCTTGATAACAATAGCTCATAGATGTTATAGTTTCTTCCTTTATAATTTTTAAACAGTGGTTTTGATTCTTTCAGCAATCTTATTTTAAATCTGTATATTTTAAATACCTTTAATGTAGATGCTATTGTACCGTTTCTGAATTATTTTGATAAAATGTACACCCTCATGTAATGACCTCAATCTGTTCATTTAACTTTGTCATTAAGCAAAATGGTTGCTAAGCAAATTGTGACTGAGAGATACTGTAAGGATTGCTGGTTGCTGCTGTCACATTCAGATAAAGATCTCTAGTGGATTATGCCAGCGTTATTCTCACTCATAGAGTATATTCTCAGGTGCAAAAATTTGGTGTAAGTATGCGCATTGCTAAGAAAATTATTTTTTTTACTACTTTTTATTACCATATTTGCAAACGGTCCCTACCTGAGGTAGTTGTTAAATGAGGAGAAGCTGTAATGTTTTTTATAATAGAGGCTGATATTTGCTTTTTTTAACCAACTTGTTTTTATTCCATTTAACAGAGCAGAATGGGGAGTAGAAAAAAGGAAATGGAAGATTTTGTGGCTCGGATGGAAGCAAAGTATGCAAACAAATCCAAAAAAGGAGGAAAGAAAGCAACCCCTAAAAAATGACTGGTTTTATAAATAATCTTCATTTACCCTTAATTTGCAGCACACTTTCAGCAATTAATTGATAAAAAGAAATAAACACAGCAGGATCTTAGATACATTTAGCAAATTTCCAGCAAAATAGATGTGAATGTTTTGGAGGAACAGATTTTCTGCACAAATAAATTGATCAAAACCTTGCTATACTATATTTCTGTAAAATAATATTGTTCACCTGTTGAATGTAAAACCTTTAAAATTAAAAATAATTAGCAAATTGTTAAACTTAACAGAAGTGTATCAGAAACATATAAGTCAAGCTTACAGGTATTTGGAAACACTTAGAAATGACATTTTGTTGTCAACTTTTCATAGATACAGTAGGTAAACTATTATCAGGACAGTGCCTTGAGTCCAAAATGATGATCGTTTGTATGCATACATACAAACTATATATACAAACTAGGACTATATATTTTAAACATTGCTAACAAGTCTACAAGTAATTTTAACAGTGCTGCATGAACTGAAATCTTTACTGATGTTAATGCAGCGAGATTTGAGTTCTGGAAGAGAATGTTTCTTAAAAGCGATTAATATGCAATTGTATCAATGTTTGTGAGGGTTTGAATTCTCTGGATATGTGTGACCGAAAGAGGGGTGTGCACTGTCCTTTTGGCTTATGTATGATTACAGCTGGGGATCAGTCTTTAAATATCTTACCTCTCAAATTGTATTCTGGAAGAGATGCTGGCTGTGATAAAACCCATATCCAACCAGTTTGACAGGGTCAAACCCAGGTTGGCTGTAATGGGAAAACTAATACTTATCTTTCTAATCATATCTCTTCCAATATCTCTTAATATGCCTAGCCAATACAAACATGAGGCAAAACTGTTCCTATAAGGTCAGATAGTTGGCAGGTTGAGAGCAATATAGGAATCAGAGCTATGGTGAAAGCAAAAACAATGCACTAGAAGATTGCATAATTAACAGGTCAGCTACTCAAAATGCAATTTCAGTAAGTATTTTCCGAGTATAAAAATTAATTTGATTTTAAACAGAATTATTTATTATGGCTACCCAATCTAATAGACCAGCACCATGCCAGAAATTGGACCATGAAAACAAGCAAAGCTCCATTCATAGAATGCAGGCAGCCCATGTAACCATGCTCTCGATCCATGGAAAAACATCTCCATAGAATTGGTCCCTTGTGGCCAAAAGGTTGTGGCTCGCTGGCTTACAATATCAGAATATATAATGGCAGCAAAAGTAACAGCTCAGGCTAAAACAGTGAACACAACACACTAACCCCAGTTCTGAAAATATTAGCTATGGAGAGGAAAACAAGGGTTCTGTGCATAAACCCATGTGACCTGGATTCCCAGGGCTGTAATCCATCTGAGCACATTGCTGATTTTCAGTGGCAAAGCTTCCTTACCACTGAGAGACAGCACAAAAGCAGACTTGATATATTCCAAAAGCATGGGCATTTTTTCCATTTCTTAAGAGAGTATCTGCATTTGTGGTATTTCTCAGCCAGATGCATCATTTCCCTTACCCATTTAGTTTTTAGCTGAATTCACATGTAAGATTTATGGTTTCTTCATTGTATGACACCTAATTTTACCTTTCTCATAAAACTACAATTCAAAGAGTGGTTTGATATTATGCATAAATTCATTTTCTTACTGTCCCTGGAAAAAAAAAAACAGCTTCTATTTCTTGATAGAGCAACATTGCTTTAATATCATTCAGGCAGTTTATTCTTCTATATTTTTGTATGCCTGCTTTATGGAAGGAAGGAAATTCACAATTCAGAAAAAGGAAGCCAGTTTAGGGATCAAAATCAAGAAAATTGCCAACGAGAACTTGATAAAATCCAAAAGGTATTACTGCTAAGTAAAGTGGGTCTATGACCAATTTTTCTTGTTGAGGAACGTCCAAAAACGCCTCAAATTTTTGCCCATAGCATTTTCTAACAGAAGAGGAAATCATCTGGATATTTGCTATAGAACATTAATAAAACTTACTGTGTTGTTATTGTTGAGTATAATTGGGAAAATCAGGATTTCTTCAGAAGATCTTGAGTCAGCAGGCTAATCCTGCTGCTTGATTGCATGAGAAGCGCAACACCCACAAATGAAAATGCCCTGATGGCTCTAGCAGAAAATTAAGACAATAGTGACATCATTATTAAAGGTAACTCCAAGTGGTAACTTCAAGAGCAGCAAGTATTCTTTATCCACTTTCATATGAAACATTACATCAGAGAGATAGGAGTATATATTTGAGGAGTAGCCTCTTCCCAATCACATCCACTCAACTCATCCCATCAAGGAAGGGCATGTTGGGATCTCATCCACAAAGGAATGTCATCTGATGGGTCCCAAGAAGAGAGCCCTTGCTGCTGTGGCACCTGCCTTTGGAATATCACTGCTTCTGATGTCAGACTTCTGGAAAAACTTGGACAAGTGGCTTTGCCGCCTGGCCTGAGGATCTGATGACATGCGTACAGTCTCTTCAAAGTGACTGTGTTCCTAGGGAAATAGAGTGTGCTCGCTTGTAAATTATGGATTGTTTTTTTTTAATCGTTTTAAAAGATTTTTGTTACAATTTTTGGTTATTGTGTTGTATTGTTTTGTGCTTTTTAACTGTAAGCTGCTCAGAGTCACATATACGAGCGGCTATACAAGTTTACCAAATAAATACTTTATTGAGTGACTGAGCTGGCAGTTTTCAGCCTACTTTTTACACAGGATTGCCTTGAAATTAAAACTACATAACATACTTACCCACCTTGAGCTCTTTGATGGAGGACAAAAAAAAGAATGAAAAATGTAAAAGTATTCTGGAAATTCATATTTCCGTTTCTAATTTCGACCATTTTTAAATCCAGGAAGTAAGCCCCAACTCAAATACAGTCTAGAAAATGCTTTTATTTGCATACAAAATAGTCTCCATTTTACAACGTAAGAAGACTCTTTCCCTATCTTGTTTCTTTTATGTCTCTCACATGGTATCAGGGAAAATGCAGTTACCTTTATTTTATACATAGCTTCATCAGTTAATGGCTGGCATTTACTAGTTCATCTTACTAGTTCGTCTTTGTTGAATTACATTGAAATTATGTTAGACATTAAACACAATATTCAGGTTGCTATGCTTTTATCTATTGTAATACCTCACTGGGCTTGACTCCTCCAAAATGTAGGAAGTATTTTGTCTTCCCAATGAGAAAACCCTAAACAGTTAAATCTGAGTACATGGTGAAAAGGTTTCTTAAAAGTTTTCATCAAAAATGTTCATTTACTTAAAAAAGATATTATGTATTGACTACAGTTGAAGAATATACAACTAAAGTGGTGCTTTACAATCCTAGCCAAAGTTAGCATGGTTAAAAAGTGGTTAAACATGTATGGATTTAATTGGGAAATAATGGTATCCTGCATTTAAATACATAAATGAATTCAAATATACTGCGTTTAATCCTCTGTTTAATCCTTTCAAATACCAACTTTTTCAAAATAGGTGAATTAGCAATGTCAACCTTCAACTGTTTAAACATTTAAGGGAAACTACTGGAGGTGCAGGCCAAGCAATAATCCAATTTAATATCATTATAAATAATATTGCTAAACATATTGCTATTAAGTATCAGTAACTAGCAAGTCTTTGAATCTTAACCAGTACTGCATTCTTCAGCCAGATATTTTTGTAACGGAACATACCAACAGCATGATAGCGGAGTTCCACTGAACGCAAACTTTTAGTGCTCCATCAAAACAAGTTTCTGCTGGCACAAAATTCTCATACAACCACGTAGTCTTTGGCAGTTGTTATACAAAAATAAGACTTTTCTAAAGAAAAATGTTAAATTTCTTCTGTAAACGGATTTGATATTGCTGTCGTTGAATACTGCTTTTAAAAGCTTCCGTAGATTCTCCCTCGTCTTGGAGACGGATGGCTTACAATCCCTGTTTATTTCGTGATCCAGCTCGGCTGTGAGTTCCTACAGAACCATATAACTGAAGACCTACTAAGCAAGAATGAGATAAGGCTTGAAAGTAACTATACAATTCAAGTCTACTTTGTTTCCTGTAAAAAAGCATCATGATTGCCAGAAAGACATCAAGACAATAAACCTGTTGTACATTTTTCAAGCATGCACCTGTATCAGCCTTTGGCACAAGTCTTGCGTGAACCAAGTTCATCTACAAAACTACACCGCTGTGTTTTGTCTAGAATTGAAACCAGAGCTAGTTGCATTTGAATAAGAATCATTTCCGAAAGTGACTGAGATAAGTCTACTTCTGTCTGTGTTTTTTTTTATTTGTATGTGGCATAACATAACCCAGCAGGATAGGTTACAATTTGTCTTTTTTGAAATTGCTGTGATACAATCTGGTGGCTACCTACCCTCTTTTATTAAACTGACTGAATAAACTGAACAAGAACAAACCCTGTCGCGTATCCTGAACGAGATTTAAAATGTTATTCCGGCTTAAGAAATAAACTTTAGGCAAAAACGACAAAACTCATTTCAGAAAAAGATGCCAAATATTTTTTTTTATGGCTTGCAACCAAACAGATGATGTACATTCTCAAATCGGTTCCTTTACTTCTTACCCAGAGGGGGATGATCATTATCTTCCTCATCTTCATCAAGAAAATGACCAAGAGGCTGGTGGTGGAAAGAATTAATGTAGGAAGAGCTAGATATCCCTAAACTGGTTCCCATGACACCTACGTTGACAGGATCTGTAGAATAATAAAGATTCCAGCGTTGAAGTCGCTTTGTGTTACTCGCTCTACATGTTAAGCAGTCATTTTTTTAAAAAAAGTGTTCAATTATCAATGTACCTGTACCAGCAGATCCTTTATTATTTCGTGTCTGATTAGCATAATCAATAACAGTGCAAGAACGACGATACTGTGTTTCTGCCTAAAGGGTTCAAATAAAATTATTGCATCAGGTCCTGGATCAAATCACACAAATCCAAAATATTCAGCAGAATTTTCATGGTTCCAACCCATCCTAAATTCAACTTTAGTATGCACCCAAATAGTTTCCAGGTTACATACTAGTATTTCTTTGGATGCAAACAAATCTCTCTGCTTGACCTGGAACTTTTCCTGTTAAGATGCAGAGATATACAGGTAGTCGTCAACTTACAACAGTTCATTTAATGACTGTTCAAAGTTACAACGGCACTTGAAAAAGTGACTTATGACAGTTTTTTTCACACTTATGACTGTTGTAGCATCCTAGTGGTCACATGATCAAAATTCAGAAGCTCAGCAACTGACTCATACTTATGATGGGAAGATGGATTCACTTAACAACTAAGTGGCTGACTTAAGACCTGCAGTGATTCGCTTAACAACTGGAAAGTCATAAAATGTGGAGAAACTCACTTAGCAACAGAAATTTTGGGCTCAATTGTGGTCACAAGTTGAGAACGGCCTGTACTTGCATTACATATTGCACATATTCTCCCTTCAGACCTCCAACAACCTATACACTTTGGCAATTTCCTGAGAGGTCCCCAAAAGAAGGAATTCTGTACAAATGCAATTTAGTTACACCTTACCCAAAATGCATGCGATGTATTAGGCCTGGAAAAACTCTCAGGTAATAAAAATCTCTCATGAACTGGTTGATGGCTGACATCATCTGCTACTGCACTTCGAGCCCGGTTAACATTTACCCGGGATTTCTGCAACACAAAGAGAAAAACACGAAGGTTTTATATCCAAAAAAGCTATTTGAAAAATTGGGACATAAGCACCAAATATATGCAAATATATGTTTGGAGTTATTTAGTGCAGCTTTCTTCCCAATTCCCTAAGTTTGGATTTAACCCCAAATATAGAATTTGGGATGTAGATGTTGTGATTATTTTTGCCCAGGTTCAGTGATGCCTACAAAATTTAGTAGTGTTATCTAAGAGATTATTGTAGTTCCACATAAAGGGAACAGTTGGAAGTGTCTATACATATAATACAAGAAATATAAGTGTCATGAATTACAACAATCAGCCTTAAAGGACCACTGAGTTGAACTCCACCTAATTCACAAATAAGACCAATATTGTTCAGTTTCTAGATCAGGGATGTCAAATTCAAGTCCCGCGGGCTGGATACGGACTACACGGTGCTTAAATCTGGCCTGCGAGGAAATAGCAAAGGACCAGCCCGCAGTGCCTCAGGCAGCAAAAAAGGGGCATTGGGGGACAGAGTGCAGCCCCTGTGGCCTGTTTTTGGCCTGGACACTTGGGGGGCACTAATGAAAACCTTTAATTTAAAACTAAAAAATGATTTTTAAAATTATATCTATATCTATATCTATATCATCTATCTCTATCTATCTATCTATCTATCTATCTATCTATCTATCTATCTCTCACAGATAATTTACAGGGGCAGTAGGAAACTTTTTGAAAAAAGCAGTTGACTTACCGTTTGCTTTTGGGATACTATGTGTTCTGTTCCTTCTATGGTACTAATAGGAGGCAGGAGATTATTTCTGCTTAATGGCATCGGAGAAGGTGATGACAGCTGCTCATTTGCAGCAGAGCTGGAAAAAAAAAAGCCAGCAGTTCTTACAAACGGTCCAATTCCATTAGAAATGGTAAAGCTGACACGAACTTCTTTAAAGGACAAAATGAAGAACCGAAGGCCTTGCAAGTTGAAGTAGTGTTTGCCTGATGTTGGCCTGGGAAAAGTTGAGACTAAGCAAGCATTGGACTTCTCATTAGGTGCCTTTCAGTGGAGATGAGAAACAGATCTTGTTATATTTATGAAACTGGCTTGCCACCCATCTCTTATGCAACAACTCTCGGTATCATGATTTTACCAGGATTTCTTTCTGGTATTTCATTAAATCGTAATTTTAAATGGTCATAACCAATTTCCCCCCTAAATTAAGAACAACATTGCTTGTAACAATAATCTGCAACAGCGGCAACTTTTAAGAGGTGTGTAGTTTGAGAGACATGGGCAGTTTAGAAACATGAAATACAAGTGAATAAATAAAATTAAGTTGCTGAAGTTGAAAAACACTGATTTACAGGAAACTGAAAAACCCTCACTTTTGACTTTCATAACTAAGTAATGAGGGGATGGTTTTACTTATTTGCTTTCCATCTTGCCCTTTGCTCGGAAGTTGATATGCACAGCACTTCCTCCTCCTAATTTTCTGCAAATTAACAATCCGGTGTGATATGTTATGCTGAAAAAAAAGAGACTCAACTGAAGTCTCCAAGTGAACCTCTGTAGGTCACCCAGGTACTTTTGCAATTCACTTCCAAATGCTCCCTTTTTATACCGGAATGTATCTGTTTCAAATATATACAAGACTGTTCAATGCACCAGGATGAAGTCTAATTAGTCCTCCATCCTTACGTTGCCTGAAAGAAGTACCATAATCCAGATGCAAAAAAACAGGCAAATTTTAAAAAAGGCAGATACACTTTGCCTCTGAAGTCTACAGCATCATAACATGGGGCTGAATATCTGTGGAGAGTCTCAGTCATCCAGGTCATGGTTGACCCAAACAGGAGCTTTTTCAAGAGGCAACTGGACTTTCTAGTTTTTCTTTGAAGATGTTTTGCTTCTCATCCAAAAAGCTTCGTCAGCTTCTTGGTCGGGAATGGAAGGGTTTATACTGCTTGTAGATAGCTGGTCATTTGCATTCTTTTAGTGAGTTGTTGAGGCCACCTGGAGATTTGTGTCTTCAGGGTCATGTCAGTAGTGCAAATGGGTGGGGAGCCTTCTTCCAGTATTACATTAGAAGAACAATACAGTCCTTTCAAGAAGGCTCCCCACCCATTTGCACTACTCATGTGACCCTAAGGACACAGATAAACCTCCAGGTGGCCTCAATGACTCTCTAAAAGAATGCAAATGACCAGCTGTCTGCAAGGAGTATAAATCCTTCCATTCCCCACCATCCAGTCAGAGCTGAAGAAGCTTCTTGGATGAGAAGCAAAAGAAAGTCCAGGTGCCTTTTGAAAAAGCACCTTTGGGACATGGGGCTGAATGCCTGACATGGCAAGCATTCGACGAAGTGTTTTCAACTCTAATTGAAATTTGTTCCAAGCTTTTGTAACAGTATCACCTTCTTTAGCGTTTGGCATTTATCTACCCAATGAGCAGATGGCATTCACTCCAGAAGTCATTCACCATTGTATCCAAATTGCAATGGGGTCATACATACAGTATAATACTTCTAGATCCATACCGGATTACTAAAAGAAATTATTACTGTTCTCTCTGAGTCTGGAGAATGAAAGATGATGTGGTTGCTGCAACTGATTAAGGTTTAAGCAGCCAATCTATTTCTATAAGCTGCCCAGAGTCACTGTAAGTTGGGGAGCCATATAAATTTTCTTAATAAAAAAAGTTTTAGAACAAAACATTGGACGAGCAAAAGTATTATGTGGGGCAATCAAGATAAAATCCAATCAGATTTTATTCTTAGTGGTATTATAAAAATAATAGTAATTTAATTCTAATTGCATAATACTTGCAATCTGGGATACTTTGCAGGTAGGTTAGCTTACAATTTTACTTTTATATTTGGTTTCTAAATAACTTTAGGAAAAGTATTTTGTGCCATTTAATCCTATTTCTGACTTAATAACACCAATTTCCCATGATTGCAGATTCCCCCCACCCCACTCCTTTTACAGAAATGGGTCAAGTTACATTCACTTTTCCCCCTTTCCGCTCTCCCTCCCTTTCTCGACCCCTCATATTTTATTGTTCATCTACACCGTTTTCGATTTACACACATTTTAGTTCCATCTCTTTTTAAAATGATTTTAAAAAGCTTTTAGTTATCGTTGGTGGTGTTTTGGCTATTTGGTTGTGTCATTTATTATTATTTTTTGGTCTGGTAACTCCGAGTCATGTATGTGAGATAGGTGGCTCTATGAATTTACCAAATCGGTCAACAAATAATGGCCAGAAGGAAGGAATTCAGGTCATCTTATAGGTCAACCTACAGTCGAGTTCCCCTGATGACATCATCCAAGGGTCGCGGGGTTCCTGAGCGAGAAAGGCTGGCATTGATAGGATGCAGGGTACGTGGTGGGGGGTTACGCCTCCTCGCCGACTGTGTACAGTAGGACAGAGAAGATGCACTGAGCTCAAGGGGACGGTTTGGCCGAGCTCTGGTTGACAAGATAGAACTGGATCCTGGTCTCATAAGCATTCTTTCATCGTAGTCTCTAAAAACAAGAGAGGGAGAAAAGGCATAAGAAGGCGTTGAACTATCAATCACCTTTTACGGCATTTGGGTAAATTGTCTAGATATAGGGAGAAAACAGTATTATCATTACAAATGAATTATCTTACTCCTCCATAAAGCAGGGGTCCCCAACGCCCAGGCCGTGCTCCACTATTGGGCCATGGCCTATTCGGAATTGGGCTGTGTGAGAGGCTGGCCAGAGTACGTGTACATGCAGCTCAACTGGTGCGTGTGCGTGCCAGCCCACTACTTGTGCAAATTGAACTGCGTGCATACCAGTGGTGGGATTCAAATTTTTTTTACTACTGGTTCTGTGGGTGTGGCTAGGTGGACGTGGTCATGTGATTGGGTGGGTGTGGCTTATTTTTGCAGCACCACCCCCACCCCATTTTTTGGGCCTTCCTGGCCTCAGGGGAGCCTCTGGGTGGGGCACTTTTGCTCCTAGACTCCCGTGGGGCTCAGGAAGGGGAAAAAAACAGAGCTTAGGAGGGGCACGCAGCACCCCTCCACGCTCCGTTTTGGGGCCTTCCTGGCCTCAGAGGAGCCTCTAGGGGGGCATTTTTGCTCCCAGGAAGCTTCCCTGGGGCCCAGGAAGGCAAAAAATTGAGGGGGGGCTGCACCCTTTCCCTCCATTTTTTGCCTTCCTGGCCTCAGGGAAACCTCCTGGGCGAAGCAGTAAGAAGCGAGGGAAATCCCGGCACAGCTGCGAACAGCTGATTGTTGGGAGGTTAAAAAGAAAAAAGAAATATCTTAAGGAGTGACTGGGCGGGTGAGTATTGGTCAGACGGGGTGAGTGAACATCGGGCGATCGGGTGGGCGGAGCAAGCAACCACGCCAAATCCTTGCTACCAGTTTGCCCAAACCGATGCAAACCGGCTGAATACCACCACTGGCGCCAGCCCACCATTCACACAGCCCAGTTCCCCTCTCTCACACACATGCCCCCAGTTGGGCCATCAAGCCACAAAGGTTGGGGACTGTTGCCACAAAGCACACAGATATAAACTGCTGATAAGTGTAGCTTCTTTCCCAACTAAGACTGTATTAAAAGCAAAATAATGTTAATGAAAGCCTATTCTGGCTTAACTGGCATGGCACCAAACAACCCTATAAAATAAGACACTTAAAATTAGTAAAGATATTATTGATAAATAAGTAGCTACTCATATAAATTGTTTATACAGCAAAAAAAACCTGTGTTTGTTCCACAGGTTTGTTTAAGAAAAAGCACTCTGCTCCTAGCCAGGACGGGGAAATATTATTTCCACCAACACTGAATGGATATCTACAAGAATTGTACGGATACTCATTTTTATAAAGTTGAGGTAAGTTTATTTATTATGTCTGATATCTTCTACTTTCAGCTTTGTGAGACTGAATGGTAGTATACATTGTTTAGGGTTTCTGTACTATGACATGCCAAATAGCAAAGCCTATCTGATAAAGGAGAATATTTGTAGCTCAGGGTTGACATGAGAGATCCTTGGTGCGCTCTGAGCTTGCTTTTTTATTGTTAATGTCTATATATCAATGTAAACTATGCAAAAGAGACCCTCACCCAGCCCAAAAAGGAACAAAAAGACCCAACCACTCTCCACCAGCAATCAGCAGATTAACTCCAAGGTTAATACATCAGACCAACAATCAAGTAAACAACACCCCAATCAAGAAACTACCGAAGAAGCCAACAGCAAACAAACCAAACAAGCAACCTCTAAGACCACCCTCACCAACAGGCAAGCCACAGGAACGTAAACCGACAGCAAACTGCACTCCTCACTAACACTGATGATGTTACCTAGTTTGGTAATGAAAAATCTGCAAGAAAACAAGCAAGCTCAGAGAGCACCAAGGACCCCTCAAACCTATCTGATCTTGGCTGATCCTAAAGCTAAGCAACATCAGACCTATAGCTGGAATTTAGAGGGAAGATCTGCAAGAAATGACATCGTAGAAGACAACCCTGTTAACTCCACTCCGTATAAGAAAATTGTATGGACACGTCCATATAGGCACCAGCAACTAAGCCCACGCTAGCTTACAGAATTTTATTCTTGTATTTAAAGTTTAGCTCCTGTCAGTTATAAACATCTAATTTATATTTAAGGATACCAATTTGATAATGTAATAAATTGTGCATTTAAACTAAAAACAACTCATATCCTTACTGGTTTAATACAATCTAATATAAAAAAGGCATTAAAGTTTTGTTGTTGTTGTTGCGAAGTCGTGTTCAACCCCATGGACATTCCTCCAGGCCTTCCTGTCCTCTACCATCTTCTGGAGTCCATTGAAGCTCACGCCGACTGCTTCAGTGACTCCATCCAGCCACCTCATTCTCTGACGTCCCCTTCTTCTTTTGCCCTCAATTGTTCCCAGCATTAAGCTCTTCTCCAGTGAGTCCTTCCTGCTTATTAGGTGGCCAAAGTATTTGAGTTTTATCTTCAGGATCTGGGCTTCTAAAGAGCAGTCAGGGTGGATCTCCTCTAGGACAGACCAGTTTGATTGCCTTGCAGTCCAAGGGACTCGTAGGAGTCTTCTCCAGCACCATAGTTCAAAGGCCTCAATTCTTTGGTGCTCAGCCTTTCTTATGTTCCAATTTTCACAGCATTAAAATTATACACATTTTAACTAGTTATCTGACTAATTATTTGCAGAAGTATTCTGTTTCCAAAGTTACAAGAAGAAAAAAAATATTAATCCAGCTTTATGCAGAACAAACAAATTTTATACATTCTTACAATATTTTGTCCATCAAGGGCAAGTTCCTCGGATGTAAGGGAATCCCATGAATAACCATCAAGCCATTCAAATTACGTTGGGGGCCAGCATATGTACCTTGAGAAACATTTACCTGTAGATGAGAAGAAATTAAATTAGGTCATAATTAAACAACAACAAAAAGTTAACTCACAATAAATCATTCCCAATGGCCATTTCTACTAAAAAGAGTAAGAAAAGAGAATGTTATTTTCTATAATTGTAAAGGAACTGTTCCCAATTATTATGCAATAAATCATGTAGAGAGAAAATGCTTTAATTTTGGACACAATTAAGTAAATGTAATATCAATGACTAATTTTAAGCTCAGTTTTTTATGCCACCTTTGTAAGTAGATATTCATATCAACACTGTTAAATTCTACTCTTTTGTAAGTACTATTAACTCATTCCCAAGCAATGGGTATCTAATGAGCAACTGGGGCTGGCTGGATCTGCCTTTTATGTACCGTACATATGATAAGTTATACAAGAGGATTATATAGAAAATGAAAGAGAGAAAAAGGAACGAAACTGAATTAAACAGATGAAACCCAAACTAAACCACTAATCGAGTATTATTGCAGAATGTGCACAGTGAGAATCAGAATATATTTTAAAAATTCAAAGAGATTAATTCAGTTAACTTTAAAGAAATCACATTCCTTGCTGATCTCTGTTAAACTGAGTAGAATCAACATTAACATCTTCTATGCTTAATTAAAACCTCATAAAGTATTTTCAAAGAAACTGAATGCTTAATGTTCCAACTCCAATCCCCTCAAAATATAAAAAGGAACATTTGCAGAAATTTTTTTTTCTAAAAGGTGTGATAATACATGACAAAAAAAAAAAAACATTTTGGAAGGACAGTTGATCAAGTATTAAACTTACCAGATTTGAAGGGATAGAGGGCATTTTGGTTTGTGGCATCCGAGGTAATACCAAAGGCATAGGTTCAAACTGCATAAAAGGACTTCCAGAATCTGTCCTGTTTGCTTCTACAGAAATGACATTCTTCCCATCATCTACCAATATCCCAAAGAAATGACAAGAAGCTTTATTTGACCGAGATCCTTATAGGCAGATACTAAAAAACCTACAGCCTACTTTCTCTCATAATTGCTGAAAGAGCTATAGCAATACTTGGTTAACACTTGAAAATACTTGATAATTGAACAAGTATCAATAGATTAAAGAAATCAAATGTAGCACAGTATTCTTGCCAAATTTGATTAGGAACCATTCATGCAGTAACTATTTTTATCATGGTTTTTTCCCCCAAAGCCCACTATTATGAGAAGTTCCACACACACAGCTGCTTATGAAAGGAAATAAGATCTCACGAGTTGCAACACAGGTTGTTTCTCATATTTTAAGCATCTAATCCTGTCGTTTGTCGAAGCAGATAGGGGTGTGCACTAAATGGAACCTGTGTTTTCTTTCAACTCACAAACAAATGCTACCCTGCCTTGTGAAACATCTTCAAAGGAAAATACACAGACAGTTCTTATCCAATAATAAAAGTTTATATAAGAACAGAATATAAATAAAATGAATTTGTCAAACGTGGCCTAAAATATTGATACTAAGCATTATTAGAGTTAAGAAAGCGCCAAACATAGCATCAAAAAGCCCAATACTATTTTAACACACGTTTGAACACTGTCAAATACATACAAATACACAATTTGCTATGTCCAAACAACATGTCATATTATATATTACAGGTCCATGTCATTTTACAAAAGTACATAATTACTAATGCTGTATCTCAGGAACAGAAGAAAAACTGTATAATTATCTATTGGGTGTTAAATTGGAAGCAGAGCAAGTGAAGGAGATGATGATAGTGTGGGCAAAAAACTTTGGCTATGCGATAAAATTAGATAAATGGCAGAAACTTTGGGATAGAAATTATAAATTAACAATGTCAACAGCATATAAAGACAAGTTATATAAGAGGTTTTATAGATGGCATTTTGTGCCGGCAAGACTGGCAAAGATGTTTAAAGATAAATCAGCTAAACTTCGGAAATGTCACCAGACACCCAGAACATATTGCCACATGTGGTGGACGTGTACTGAAGCTAAGAGATTTTGGACAAAAATACATATGTGGTTGGAAAAGATGATAAAACAACATATAGATCTAAAACCTGAAATATTTTTTTGTTAAGGATGATACCTGAAAGTTATAGTAAAGAAAAGACATATTTAATTATTCATGTATTAACTGCAGCTAGAATAGTATTTGCTCAAAACTGGAAAAGTGAAAAGATTCCAGTAGGAGAATGTGATTAGGAAAATATTAGAATGTGCAGAAATGAATAGGTTAACACTGGCAATTAAAGGAAAAGAACTGAATATTATATGAAATGGGAATCATTTTATCAATGGTTGGAAAAGAAAAATGGAAATTAGAAATTAAATATATGAACATAGATGATAGATAGATAATATATATAGAGAGAACATATATGAATATATGAATATAGAGGGGAAGGAGTTGGTTACAATGATAAGATATATTATGTATACTAGTGATACATAATATATGATAAGATATATTATGTATACCAGGGGTCCCCAACCGCCGGGCCGCGACCGGGCCGCTGGTTGCTGGGCGCCGCCATCTTTTTTTGGTAAAAAAGTGCTTCCGGTGAGCTTTTCCGGGTAGAAAGCTCACCGGAAGCACTTTTTCATCAAAAAAAGATGGCGGTGCCCAGTTGATGCCGGTACCGGGCCGCGCCGCCCAGCTGATGCCGGTACCGGGCCGCGGCGTCAAAAAGGTTGGGGATCCCTGATGTATACTATTATGTATACTAGTTCAAAATAAGAATGTAATGTAATTGTTGTTGTTATGATGAAGAAATTGTATTAACCACAAGTACAGATACAGATAATCAGAGTTGGAAGGGACCTTGTAGGTCATCTAGTTCAACCCCCCGCCCAAGCGGGAGACCCTACACCATTTCTGACAAATGGCAGTCCAATCTCTTCTTGAAAGTCTCAACTGATGGCGCTCCCACAACTTCCAAGAGCAAGCTGTTCCATTGGTTGATTGTTCTCACTGTCAGAAAATTTCTCCTTATTTCCAGGTTAAATCTCTCCTTGTTCAGTTTCCATCCATTATTCCTTGTCTGGCCTACAGGAGCTTTAGAAAATAGCTTGACCCCCTCCTCTCTGTGGCAGCCCCTCAAATATTGGAAGACCGCTATCATGTCTCCCCTGGTCCTTCTCTTTACTAGACTAGCCAAGCCCAGTTCCTGCAACCGTTTGTTGTATGTTTTAGCCTCCAGTCCCCTAATCATCCTGGTTGCTCTTCTCTGTACTTTTTCTAGAGCCTCAATATCTTTTTTATAATGTGGTGACCAAAATTGGATGCAGTACTTTAGGTGTGGTCTTACTAAGGCTTTATAGAGTTGTATTAGTACCTCACTTGAACTTGATTATATCCCTCTGTTAATGCAACTTAGGATTGCATTAGCTTTTTTTGGCGGCTGCTGCACACTGCTGGCTCATTTATTTAGCTGGTTGTCCACTAATACTCCAAGATCCCTCATATTATGCACAAGATATTTGTATCCAGATGACACACCGTACAAAGAAAAGA